GTACAAAATGATTTTCTGAAAATGAAACATACACAATCAATGGACACAGAACACTGAGAAAAGCAACTAAGAAGCAGTTAAGACGCAAGAACAACAAAAAAAGTCAGAATAGTCGTTTCATCTTGCCAGCTCCCGTAAGCAGCCATTCAGGAAATAAATAAATGATAAATTAAAGTACGTAATTTGAAATTTTAAGACTGGAAAGTTTGAAATGGAATGGAAATAAAGCAAATCGTAAGGCGTCGCCATCAATTTATAGAATCAAATACAAATAATGCTCTACTATTATGAGATCCTCAGGTATGATGCAACGGCCGTGATGAATAACAACTATTGCGGCAAAACGAAGTGGTTGCTGGTCATAATCAGTTTGCATTAATTCAAAAACAAACCATGACCATAGGTAACATGGATGTCAACTAAATAAAGGTTTGATGTTAAGTAGTGTTTTGTATTTTCTGGTCAATTTATCCCTATATATTTCTTGAAGAAAAGCCTGCAAACACGCTTTTCTTTGATTCAGAAGCTGATGGGCATTCTATCAACCCCGGGCGTTCTCTTCGAATCCTGAGGCGCAGGCCTTAAGTGCGCAGTGTCTATTATAACACCGCCCGCTTAGCGCCCGCTCGTCAAGATTTGACGATAACACTCGGTATACGTTATATTACAAAGACGCCTAAAACAAAAAATAAGGTGTATTTCCGGCTTTCTCTACGGGGAGAATTGACCGGACAAGACAAAAGACTACTTCAATGTGAGTAATTCAACACTAATACTCAAAAACCTACAGTTAGTTGGTACCATACGAACATACTTGTAGATATACCTACTTAAAAGCTATTTCGTAATCTTTCATCTGCAAATGAGTTCGCGTTATTTTTTTTCGTAGACTGTCATTTTGCAGGATGAATGGTATGTATCTGTCAAGGCCTACCTGGATTTGATGAATATTGGACAATAATCTGCGCTAAGGGGGCAAGTCCTGAGAAACTGGTAGCTGTGAAGATGTTGACATTTGAACTGGCTATTTCGTTCAACTGATCTCGATTAATTCTTTTCCCGATTCCAAGGGCATAGACTCTAACGTTTTTGTCTTTAAGTCCTCTGGATGCTATTGAAAGTGGAGTGTAAGGTCCTTTGCTGGTTGTTTGTTCGCCGTCAGTGATAACAATAGCAATCTGTAAAAAGAAAAAGAGCTAGTAAAACCGGTAACTTGGAAAAAAGAATCGAATTTCTTGCAAGAAAAGATAACTCGACCTTCATATTAAATTATACATTGTTCTTGCCCCCACAGCCTTTCATGCTGTCCAGAAAAGAATTTTTGTCCAATGTGATTGTTTAAATGCTAAGGACCCATTACCAGCCATTCAAAAATGCAAAAATACTACGTGGTACTAGAAGTTTGTCTCTCTTATAAGGTTTAGTTGTCCACCCCCTAATTTCATCGAAAACACTAGGAATAGCGGACAGCTTGATGCTGTTAGGCTGAGAATGAGTAATTTATATGGTGCTACAAATTAAAGAGGGTGATAATGGAAAGTTAGCTAGGAAAAAATTCGCCTTTTACGACCTGCTAGGCACTTTCCGACTCAGGCTGCTGCGCTATGTTCTCCTGTGCGCATGACCATTAAGCCACAACACACCGGCACAAAGCCACGTAAAAGCATATACAAGAAAAGAGAAAATGGCCACTGGGCGACACAAGCACCAAAGAACTGAAACATAATAATGAATAAATATCCTCCTCGCATCAGTATGGTGGGTTCGATTCAAGGAAGACTTTTTTCAAGTATTGTAAAAGCTTGTAATAAGAGGGTGCCGAAGAGATCTTTTGCTTTTTTGATGAGTTTACAGATACATGTTTTCCATTTTTTCTCAGTCCATGAAAAAAGTTTTAACAACCTATTCAAAAGTATACCGGCAGGTGCAAACTAATTTGAGCATTCTTATATTGAATGAGAGGTAGGCGAGAGTTATACTCCAACAAGCATCCGTTATAATACAGCGACAAGAATGAAACGGGAATTCTCCTTATATACTCATTAGTACAAGACATTTGGCAGCAGTGAGAGCAGAAAAAAAAGCTGAGTACCTGTAAACTTCCGCTTACAAGCGCTCCCCCACCCCCTTCCGCCAGTTATAGGCCCATCAGTTTGTAGACAAAAAATATCCCCGATTATGCCCCCCCCCCCCTCTCGAGTACAAGCCCCCTCTAGCTTTTCTTTTCTTTACCGCCAGTAAATGGAAAACGTGTTTTGATCAGCACTGCTTTCGCTTGTTTTACACCGCTTTTTCTATTCCGGTTATAAACCCCTTCTGAGATGTTAAGCCCATCCGTTTATAAGCCCTCCTAAAACTCCGTTACGGGGGTGTGTGGGCCCAAGGCTAATAAGTAGAAGTTTATGGTATAATAGGGAGCTGATTACCAAAGGCGATTTTCAGCGACTCACGTCAACCGGAAGTGACGTTGTTTACATTTTAAATTACCTTCAAGCAACCAAATTTGCATTTCTAAGGGTCTTGACTACAACTAGAGGCGACCTGCCTAAAACTTTGGGCAAAACAAACCCCCCAGAATACAAAAAGTCCACTTCCAGTGGACGTTTGTCGGTCAAAAACGTCTCAAAAACGTGACTAGTATTCTTTTCAAACCTGTGGCAAGCCAGGTCTCATTCCAGAAGCCGTGGAAAATATTTCTTCGTTGGTCAATATGAGTGCTTTGTCAATAAACGTAAAGCCTCTCTGAAACCCCATCCTGTCGATGAGTCTGTAATATCGTTCCTCTGTTATTTCAGATTCCTTGAGACTGTTGAATTTAAACTCGACTTTGGCATTGTTACTGTAAGCGACTACAGCGATATGCGTCTTCTGGGGACCAACATTGAAGTCTTTCACCATGTCTTTGACGAACTGGAGCATTTTTACCCAATTTCTTCTACCAATGCTTCCCGAAGAATCTACTATAAATGCTACATCCGCCACACCTTTACAAGCGAATTCTGAAGGGAGCAAGACAGAGGGAACAAGTTCAACGTAATGAGTTAGAGTAATCAGAGCAGTCCAGCTTCAGCTTCTTGGTCACCCGAAATTAGGAGTACGAGGCATGGAGTCCTGCTTTGACCAATAGCTGGACGTAAGGAAATCTCCGGATTCCGGAAGACGGGAAATTTTTGTTTGTGGAATCCGGAATCCAGCAAATTTTTGCTTGTGGAATCCGGAATCCAGCGCCTGGAATCCGGAATCCACGTTGTAGAATCCGAAATCCATGACTGTCTTCGTTCTCCTTACGTGCGGTGACTTAGGACTTATGCATGGTTACCTCAGAAAAGAAATCTTCACCACCAAATTTTGTTTGCGAACAATGTTATTTCCCATTCCACTCTCTGTGTAGGGTATTCTTTCTAACTCTTCTACCGGGGAAAATATTTTATTTTAATTGTAAAGCGAGGCTTGGCGGTGAAATATGTTCGTCTGGCATTAACATGCATAGGGGATTTTGTTTTGTTCGGCTTTTTAACTTTCGTATGTTTCCCATGGATTATTTGTACTGAGAATTTTCAGATAAATCCGTTGTTTGTGTATATTGTGTGTCACTGTTGGGCAGGCAATTCACCTCATAGAAAGGCGAAGAAACGCATAGCCACCCATTCAGCACGTGCGCCAAACAAAAAGAAAGTTATTTTTTGCTTATTTTTTTCTGCATTTCGCCCTATTAAATTGTCTAAAGAGTTATAAAATACCAACGTAGTATAAAAACGTTTACTAGCAATTTTTCGGCAACTCATGTGGCATTGAATCTTTCGCTCTGTAAGTTGCAGCTCCTAGACCAGGCAAATGAGGTCCTTTATTGATAAATTTATTACTCTAGACGGAAAAGGATCATGTGTTAAATCTGTTTTTTCTTAATAAACTCATACAAGTACCAAATTTATCTATAATTCGTGACAATATAAAACTTAAAAAATAATAGTAATGAATTTAATACCTGTTGTACTCGGTGTTGTAAGAGGTGCTGAAAAGAGAAAACAAAAAAATATAAGCGGTCAGGAAACATCATTTTCTTGTCCTGTAAAGAATTTTCGGTGACGTGACAAGCAGCTAAGCAAATTTATTGGAACAAAAGATAGTTTTACGTAAGAAAAAGGCTCAGCTCCGACAGGGCTGGTTTGGAAGACCAATATGGCCGCCGTTTGATTGTTTTGAAAGACCAATATAGCGGACGTGACGTCATGTGAAAACGCAAGCAACTTTTTAGGAAGAACATGTGAAAAAGGTGCATAAAAAGTTTTCATTACAGACACTATAATCTCTAAGGGCCTGTTTACAAGGAGTGGGAAACCCCAGATAGGTGAGGTAACATGTGGCGGGTCACCCCACCTATCATGTAAACGTGATCAAATTAAAATGAAAGATTTTATGGACAGGCGGGTTACCCCACTTAAGCGGGTTACCTCATCTATACCTGGGGTCCCCCTCCTCCATGTAACTAGACCCTAACTCTTAAACTACAGTCTGTATAGGGGGCTGATCAGTTCGTAAAAAAAATGATACAATTGGTTTCTCGGTTAAAATCGTCGATGACGGCGAGAGACGATTAAAGGGAACAGCTCACGAGCTCAGATTACGTGTAACTCGCCTCAGCCTTAATACTGGTAACAGTTGATTCTAGTTCTCATTTTTGGCTTTCTACGAGTCACATCCAGAGTAACATCAGTATGGGTACCTGCTGATCAACATTTTAGCTCAGGTACAAAACAACTCATTTCGGTTTGAAATCAGAGTAATACGAAACCGTAACCGATAGAGCATGCATAATTTTAGTCGTCGATCCAAGATAGCTGGGGTTTGGACATAGGCGACGGATTGAAATGAGGAAAAAGCGCATTTCTTTCTTTTCCTTTAACCAGGATTACTTCACTAGATCGTACTTCCCCGGGACTATTAGGGCTTGGAACAATAGTATCCCTCATTCTATTAAGCGTGCTACTTGTGCGCAACAGTTTCCTACAAGACAATGCTAGGTACATATCGCCCGCCATGGTTACACCCGTAGCACACTCTTACTGCGCACACCCTAGACTTTCCAAAAGTCCTTTGTCGGATTTCATATGGCGCGGGACGAAGGACTTTTCATACTTGATTAGCGCCAATTTTACCAACCCAAAAATGGGTCGGTGCGCTTGGACCAATCCGGAGTAGCTCCCAAGGACCCTTGGGGATAAAGCTGTCACTCACAAGTACTAAGCGCATTGAAACGTGACTTGAGGTCGATTGCGAAGTGGAAGGTGTTGAATGGCCAGCTCGTGTAAGTGTGATACGTGACCTTATAGTTTTGCTCTAATGAGGATATCTCCCAGCGATTTTCCTCTTTTATACGAAATGATGGGAGGCTCATTGTATATTTCTCTCAGTAGTGGTTGATCTTGAATTAAGTGCCATTTGCTCGTTAAAATGTTCTTAAGGTTCTGCAAAGCAGGGTGGTATGTGGTAACGAAAGGCAGAATTTTTTTTTTCGCACTTCATTGTTCTTTAATGAAGCTGACTTCCGTTCAGTAAATTTAACCTCAAAGGTGATTTTTTCTATGGGATTGTGAGGGTAACCTCTAGCGCGAAGGCGTTTTTTGAAGTTGTAGATGTTTTACATAGAAGGATTTAGCTGAGGAGTTAGTTCTCAGGAGTCTAATAGCTTCGCCCTTTATGAGACCTTTTCTGACCCCGTGAGTTACAGGAAGAGAAATGCGTGTATTGAAATTCTCTGTAGGTTTAAAAATGTGTGCGGATGTCAAGGATTCCTTGGTTGTGAAATCTCCTTTCCCAGTATTGACTCGAGATTGAAACAAGTTTTTGTTTTTTTCCGGCCCCCTAAGCTCGTCAACTTTCGCCTAAAATCATTGTTAGAGACAACTTTCACACAAAGTAAACAAATTTGCTCCTTCGATGATGGAGATATACAGACACGTTCAATAGATTTAGTCGGAGTGGAATCAGCACATTCCCAGGGCGCATTCTGCCATAGACTTGCTACTTGGAAAGTCTAATTCTGCCATTCAAGTCAAGGACTCGCAAATGAAACCCAAAACCCCAAATGCAAGTCACGCCACTCCCCATTTTTGGCGCGAAATGCGAATGAAAACCCATCAAGCGAGACAAGTCGACCTCTCGCGACTTCGTCGCTCGCGGTCGGCCTCTTCGCGGCCAAACAAGGCTCGCTCTGCTCGCCAAGAGGTCGACTTGTAGCAAGTCTACGCACACCCTTTCTTCCTTCATATGCATCAATCTTTTTTTTCATCCGATTTTTAATAGTAATTTATGTCTTATTGTTTTAGACGTCGTAGGAGTTAAAAGTCAATCTGATTGGGGCTCCTGCCCTGTTGTCATCTTCTGTCAGCGTGCTGTCGTTTGTGTGTTATAACTTCTTTCTTGACAAATATCAATAAACTAAACAAGAGCTTGTAACCCCCAAAATTTTTTAGATGGTTCCTCAGAAATCACCTTTGGATCAACTCAGGTGTTACAGAGTTGCTTTTGGGAGAAGTGTTAAAATTAGTTTAAATGAATCAAAGGTATCCCATTATATTCAATCCAATAACGCTGGAACAACGTTTCCATTTACCGGTCATTTAGAATATTGCGAAAGTAATCTAGCTGGCGCTGTCTGAAATCCAGGAATTTTGTAATCTGAACTTTTAGTAATTGTAACTAATTGTGCTTACTGAGAACGAACTCGGTTACAAAATGTTCAACTCTGTCGCTTTAAAGACGTCGTTATTCTCAGGAACTAGCTTGTTAGCCTACGAAAACGAACGAAAAACAGACGAAAAAAACCGCCTCCCACCCAAGCTTGGATTTTGTTGAAGAGATCTTAGCCGCCGAAGAACGCTAATTTCCGCGCGATTTCTGATCCGGAGAGAAGCTGCGCAGCGCTTATCTCGAAATTGGAGCGACACATATCGGATAGTTTCTGTGTCACAGTTTGCCGGGTGCGCTCACTTACTCCCCGGCTTACCTACATACGCTAGACAAACAAAACCACCATATGCCAGCTACAAGAGGTGAGTGTGCAGCACGAGTCACGCGCGAAGGGAATGACACAAAAAAATATATATAGCTTTTGAACTGAAATAACTCTTCACGCCCCAGCCACGCCGCCGCGTGACCCACGTTCCTTGCTCACCTCCAAAGGAGGGGGGGGGAAGTACTCCCTTACATAGCCTTGTGGGGGATGTACCTAAGGACATGGCATAGTGTTTTGCCTCCCAAAACAGGGTATATAATTTCGTTTGAGTCTGTCAATTGCCTGCACGTCTGATTTGGTTTGCTAGATAAATTTTGTTTTGTTTTTACTGCAAGTATACTGTACCAAAGCAATGACTATAACCTGAATGAATGGCGTGCATTTTGTCCTTTGTCCTAAACATGGTAATAGAATTTAGGGTGTTGTCCTTAAACAGAGTATATATTTTTGGAAATCTTTTGTCCTAAACAGGATCAGGGTTTTAAACCCTCAGCGGCTCACCTGTACCCAAGCATTAGTCTGGTGTCCCCCCGCCCCCCCCCCCCCCAAAAGGGGTGGCCTGCGTTATCCTGGAAAACGTAACAAAAAACAACTCCTGTTTTGCAGTTTTAAGAGCCAAAATCCCCTATGCGTTTTAACGTCTTCCCCTTAACCTTTACAATATACCCTATTTGACGAAAGAGGACCTCTAAACCTGGAAAATTGCCGTGTCTGATTTCGTCATTTTGTTTTAAAAAGATGTGCATTACAAAATTACAAAAATAGTCAGTGATTGCCTCTGGGGGGTATTAATCCACCTTGGCTTTTGTTTTCTCAAACTTTATTTAGGGAAACAAGACATCTTCCTTTTGAGTTTGTCCTCAACATCATATTAACATATTTCCAATTGGCGATTTTAAAGCCATTTTTTACCATAGGGCATAGCCTGCGTAGCAAGCGTATCCGTTTTGTTTCGGAGCAAAGAAAGACTGAGAACGGGATT